TGGACATAGTGGTTATTGTTAGATAATATACTGGCATATATCAGATGTAGTAGAGACAGAATGAAAACACTCTTCAGAGGTAAATAACTTGAAAAATTATTTGCTTTTTGAGAGCTCATTTTGCACTTTCCTCTAGCTTCCTTAGAAGGTTATGTTTGTTCTGCAGACCATTAAAGACTGACTGCCACCTCTTCATTTCTCTGACAAACATCTCCCTTTGCTTCTGGTTTTTGGTGGCATTTACGTATGTGAGAGCTTGAGAGAAAATGCTGCCGCTGACACCTTTGGTCTGTGGGGTGTGTAGTGACAAAATTCCTGGAGAGAAACATGACTGCTCAATTCTTCTGAAAACCACTTTCCTTTTGCAAAGGAGGTAATTTGAAAACAGTTTATTGAAGTAACTTTAGTTTATACTATTGTATAGGTTTCAGGTGTACAGCATGATTGTGTGACATTTGTTTATACTATATTGTAATCTCCACCAAAAGTGTAGTTTCCATCTATCCTTGCACAACTGCCACCCTTGACTCCACTTGCCCTGAATTAACATTCTCCATCTAAATCTGGTTGTAAAAATAAAAACCCTGCCTGTCTGTTCTGGGACTCACTGGGGCTTTAGTTGTATTGATGCCAGGTGTTGAAGTCTAAATCTGTTCTCATTTTATTCCTCTTGCAGTTTTCCACATAAGAGCCCATTCATTTAGCAAAACCCAATTGCTTTTGCTGATTAAGCAAGAAAAAAGCCCTTTGATTTTATTAAAAATAATTAGCGTCACTTCATCTGATTATGAAAGTGAAAAAACAAAATCTTGACAGCAAAACAGAAAGGTCTGTTGAAGCAGAGTGAACATGTGAAGGAGAGTGCCTTTTGTTCAGGGGCCTTTTTCTCCTCAAGAGAGAATATTCTACATACTTCCCTGTGGGCTAGTCGGTCTCTTCAGCTCTACACCAGCGAGACCTCTTCCCGTGGTCAAAGTTGGGAATCTGGCTTCTTCCCATTAAGTCAGCCACTAAAACTGTGGGAATCATATTTGCATTCTCAGGAAGTGTTCTCTCATTTTAGCACTCAAATAATTTTCTTATTAAGTGGTTCCTTGCACTTTCAACATGTTATAACTAATCAGATCGCTGTGGTTGGAAATTAGCTGCATGACTTTTGGTGTTTCAGGAGTTTTCATGAAATGAAGTGAAAGTAAATATGAAATCATGGAATTACATCATCTCATGAAATGAACAGAAAATAACCCGTCAATTTATATAATCTTTTGCTCGCGGAGATTGCACAGGAGAGGAGAGGAGTTGGGGTCGGGGGAGAAGGAAAAATATGTTTCTTGAGCTGCTCCTGTGTTCCCACCATCAGGCGGTTAGTTTGCTCCTTTCTGGCTCCGGCACATACACTCCTTGTGGTCTCTTTGTTACTCTGTCTCTCCCCCCCTTCCCACAGCCCAATCCATCGCATTTTGTAAACAAACCCCTGTGTCCAGTAGACAGAGGGGGCGCGTGAGGAAATGCTGCAGAACTGGGCTGGGGTCTGCAGTGGGGTCTATGTGCCAGCTGGGCTTCATAATGAGGACACGGGTGCCTTCCCAAAGCAGCTTTGTGGACCAGTTAGAGTAGAAACCGGATTTAGAGAGGTTGATGATGTGAATAAAAGTGTAGACTTGGGAAGAAGTTTGGTTCTGAAAAGGAGGCAAGAACGTCCTGGAGATTCTAAGGCGAGTTCTTTGGTAAAGACACAGAACAAATGGATGTGTGAGTGTGTGTGTGTGTGGCGGGGGAGTTAAGAGGAGGAAGGCACACTGAGAGTTTATGGGCTGATGCGGGATGCACTGATGTTAAGACATCTACCTTTTAAACATTTTTTTTATATGCCGAGGTATTACCTTTTTTTCATCACATACTTTTTATAGCGGGAGAGTCTTTTTCTCTACTCTGTGGTTCAGTGACAGGGTCCTGCAAATGTAACTGAAAAAAGGCAGATAAACAGGAGAAAATGTTTAAATCTCATGGACAACGTTCTCACAGAAAAGAAGTGAAAAGTCCAAAGAAATCATTAGGCTGGAGCTGTTCATATATCACTTTAGCAAATGGCAGTAAAGTGCAGATGGATGACAAGACACAGGAAAAGGGGTGTGTGTTTCTTTGAGGGTTAATGGTAGGGAGGTAAAAATTGGAGGACTCTCCAATAAGGTTTGCACATATGTCCGTGCTATCTTTACATCTCCAGTGGCCAGAGTTGTGGTCCTCCTTCTGGGGTGGCAGTCAGGAGGGGTACACCCCTTATAGGAAATTGTGCCCTGTTTCTGAGTAGCAAGGGGGAGGGCCAAGTAAATTCTGCCTGTGTCTGTTATTGGTCAGTGTTCTTTAGCTCAAATGCTTCTAAACCGATGTGGCATATTTTGGGGTGGCATGCTCTGACTCCCTCCATTATGAACCAGATCAGTGACAGTACCCCCATTGTACAGAGGAGCATAGTAGATCAGGCATCTTGTCTATAAAGATTCATGGCTACTAAGGGGTGGAAATGGGATGTGAACCCAGATCTATCCAGCCACAAAGGTTATTGTTGCCTTTCTGCTGTAAGTCAGCATGGGGACTTCTGTCCAGAAGTGTGCACTCAACAAACCTTTCATGAACTCCAAGGAATCAGCTGAAGCATTGCTCTAGCATACTTTCTTCTTAAGTTACTCAAATTCCCATCACACTAGTTTACTGGGAGTAGTGTTCATTGGCTTCACTGTTAATGGGGATCTGGATCCAGGTACCCTTTTTGATTAAGAGCATAATGAACTGAATGTCTGTGTTTTGCAAGGTGCAGTTATTGAATCTAATTCCAGATAGTAACAGCAGCTATTTGCTTATTTTCACGCAGGTGACAATAATACACTAGCATCACACATACAGAAGCTATTTAGCTCACCATCCCAAAGTTTTATAGAGAGCTTGTTGAATTTGGAGACAAATGATGTGGCCTCGGGGAAAGCCGTGGGGACAATATTCAATATTGGGTGTTTTTTTACGATTTAATTACTGCCTATTTCCAGACAGAATTGAACTCTGGAAGGCCTTTTCTTTTCACAACCACAAAATGTATTTTGTGAAGCAGTGAAAAGAATCAGTTGAAATTTTATTGTCTGTTGATAAACACTTAGTGCATTATTTCAGCCAGTTCTAATTAGATTTATTTTTAAACTCAACTTCTGTAAATTGAACTGACAGTAAACAGTAAAAGTAGATGATTGTTGTAATGCCGAAAACATAAACACCAATAGCCCGGCAGTGCTGTATGGCGGGCTGTCAGTGCCTTGTCCGAACTATGTTGTCTTGAAGTGGAGTTAAGGAGCCTTTGGGACACAGCAAAACGTGCCTTGGACAAAGAGAAGACAGTTGCCATGCTGGCTGCTTAGTAGAAGTATTAAGATGGAATCCTCACTTATAATATGAGAAGACTTGGTCGTTTCTCAGCCTCAGATGGAGCTACAACTAGTTTCATTTAGGAACACATCAGAGACATGAAAACTGGCATGCAAATTGTGCAACATACTTCCCTCCTTCCTTCCCACGGATAGTGCACTGGTCTCCTCCAAAAGAAGAGTAGGTGCTTCAGCTCCAGCGACAGTGTCCTGTCGCCATAAGAGGCAGTGGTGTTTTTGTTTTAAAACCTAACTTCTCAGTGGTGAGAAGTGGTGTTTCTGTTTTTTGGTTTTTTTTTTTAAGATTTATTTATTTGTGCATACAGAACTGGGGTACAGGCCAGAGGCTCAGGAACGGCGGAAGGATTCACCAGAGACAGAGTGGGGAGCAGAACAGGCAGATCGACGAAGTACACTGTTGAGGGGAGCAGCGGGCGGGTCAGGAGAGGTCTGCCATGCCATGTGGTCGCCTCCAGGGCAGGCGGGAATCGAACTCATGCAGAAGTGGCTTTAGCTTCTCAGTGCTGTGCTTTAACCCGCTGCGCCACCAGGGAGGGCCGGTGTTTCTGTTTTAAAACCTGACAAGTGAGGTCCTCTGTGGGTGAGAGGGACTTGCAGCTGGGTGCACTGCGTTCTGTGTCTTGCTGCATGTTTATGGGGCTGGCATTAGCAGGTCCTCAACGAATCGGCATTTCATGGATAACCCCTACGTCTCTGTGCACCTCTGTGTGTTGTGTTGAGCCTTCACGAACTCTCCTCCAGTACAGCAGAACTCATGAGCATGCCAGACTCATCAGAGTGCACTGTTAGTGACAGTTTGCTTAGGGAAAGGTGTACACTCCAAGCAGTCTAAATTCCCTGGTCCTCTCATTCTGGAAGATGAACAGGAACATAGTATCTCCCTAGAGCATGCAGATGGGCACCCCATAATGGAAATGTCCAGGCCTTTTGGGAATGGCATAATAGGTAGTGATAAAATGCTTGTTTTCTTGGACTTGGGACTTGAGCGTCCAGGGGTCATTAGAGGAATATGACATTGAATGGCGCTGGACTATCTTTTCACAAATTTCTGAGTTTGTGGGACAAGCCCACAGCCATTGACCCTCAAATTAAGCCAGCTACACATAAGTTTGATGTAAGTTTTCTGAGTATGTTCAGAAGTGGTGGCACAAACCTGCTGTCTCGATTCTTGTGATTCCTTCTGAAATTTAGTTTTTTAGAATAAGATAAAATTTTCAGTAGTGAATCCCATAAAATATAATCTTGTTGAAGAATAATCAGTGACTCTTTACAGAAGATGATTTTGTTTTTCTGCAATTAGAAATGTTAGTGGAATCAGCAGCCCCCCCCCAGCAGTTCCTGCTCCCCCAGCCAAAGGGGTGAATTTCACCCCTCACCCTTGTCCCTTGATGCCAGCTAAGTCAGTGTTTACATGCCAAATGTTCTGTCCAACTTCATCACAGTCCCCTTACTCAACTTTTGTTGAGTAAATGCAGTTTAAGCTTCAGAAGGGCTGTTTCCAGAGCATTCTTGTTTTAGCAGGAATGAATGCAGTTGAAGTTCACTGTCGTTCTTTTTCCCCAACAGGTTCTTAGCATGATAATCAATGCTGCTTACAAGCCTGGAAGGGTACTAAGAGAATTACAACTGGTGGAAGATCCACACTGGAATTTTCAGGAGGAGACGCTGAAGGCAAAGTAAGTGTTTTCAATTCAGGAAAGTAAGGGTTCTTACACTCCTTAGCCTGCTACTTTGAAACTTGTCGTTTCTCTTTTTGACATAGCCCAGAGAAGTGTAAACAAATGGAGCAATCACCATCATGTATGCTGTAGATTTATTGATGGTTTTGCTTACGCCTTAGGCTTTTAAAATAAAATAGAATTTTGCTTAACAAATACGAGCAAGTATTTCGAGCAAGTGTTTGGATGAGGAACTATTCTTGTTTTAAAGTTTTTCGGTGAAACCCAGTACATACAAAATACACCTAATGGAAATGAAAGTAGGAAGATTTACAAAAACCTCCATGCTACTAACATCCTTCTTAACAACTGAGAAACAGCCCAGTACCAGCATATCAGGCAGTGTTTCTGCAGAATTGGCACTCATTTCCATGTTACCAAACTGATCAGAGCTTTTATTCAATCTAGCCCGATACAATCAAAACAGACACAGTGAGATCAGCCTGCTGTACGGTAAAGGCAATGAGTCCCCTATTATATCAGCTGTGGCAGTGAGTTTCTTAGCAAAATCTTAGACAGCAGCTTATAATGAGAAAGTGTCTGTGGGAACTGGGTGTCAAGTATGCTGGATCACAGAGGCGCCTCAGAGCAGCTGCTCATGATGACAAATCCAAGTCAGCAGGACGTTCCTGCTACAATACCATGCGTTGAGTCACCCCTTTGCTTCTGATGTAAAGTGACAGTCTTTTTAGATCTTGACAACTTAGCTGTTTTCTTTGGTGCAAATGGGAGGAGAGCAAGCTGGCTTCTTCCCACTTAGCTAAAGGCTAAATGTTTCCTGCCATGAATAAATTAACTCAGGAGGGGAGACCTTCATCCTATAGTCTTGGTTGTGATCACAGAATTATGCTATTTCAAGAGTGTTTTCAGGAAGAAAGGCTGTAGGTTGTTTGCAGGGCCTTGGGAGTGCTGTCACTGAGCACCTGGGTACTTGATAATATTCCTATAATTCTAATATTCTTTAGACCAGGCTTTTCCTGGTGACCCAGAGGTTAAGTCTCAGCACTGTCACTGCTATTGCCAGAGTTTGATCCCAGCCAGGAAGTTTATTCACATGGTGCAGCAGACTTCTCCTGACATGACCGCTGCTCCCCTCAACAGTGTATTTCAATAGATCCACTGGTTCTGCTCCCCACCCTGTCTCTGATGAATCCTTTCACCACTACATCCAGATGTCTGGTCTACACACAAAAATAAAGAAAAAAATTTAAAAAATAAAGAATAAAGTGCCATTTACATGGGTAGAGGTACCGTTGCAGAGCTTCTGATCTGTAAATAGAAGAAAAGTGAACACTGTTGGCTGTTGTTGTACTTCAGTGAATTTTTTTCCTTACTTGTCAACCAACTGAAACTTTTGTGCTAGAACAAAATGTTTGCAATATTTGGACACAGTACAAGAAAGGCTGCCACATTGTGAATCTGCAACATTTATTGAACGATAAAACTGTAGTAGTTATCGAACTGAAGGGGAAATGGATTTTAATGTAGTTTATTTCAGCAGTTCTGGAAGAGGAAATTCTTTCTTTATGATGAATTGGAGTGTACTAAATTGACCTACATTAGTTTAAATTTTAGGAGAAAGAATTTAGGCTATACCTTAGGGGGATTAAAAATAAAAAAATTCCCAACTCTGTCTATCTAGAGATTTTTAAATATGTTTTCCTACATATTATAGAACCTTTTTAAGGGAAAAAATAAAGACTTGAACTTTTCTTTAAATGGTTTCTGAGATAATCTCTATGAAAACCAGGTGGAGGCTTAATAGAATTTCCCAGTCCTTTGTTACAGTTATTCAGAATATTTAAAGAGGAAATATCCTGATATAATTTCTAGTGAATTAGACTTCATTATCTTGTAAGCAGAAGTGAGGGGATCAAGTCAAATCTTTACTTTCAGGTGAGTCATGTTCAGCTCTATGGAAATTACCCTTTGGTTTTCTCTTTTTTCATAAGCTATGGCTAATTTTATATGTATTCGTATTTCTACTTTTTTATTTTGGCTCTTTACTCATGTCCATATTTTGTGTACAGTAAAATACATTGTTTGGCTATAAAGTAATTTATGAAAACTTGAAAAGACTTTTCCCTGAAAAAGATTTTTTGGCGTTTTTCAGTTGTTCGTTTTTATCTGGCTCAGTCTTATGCCCTTTATTTTCTAGGAAATGTGTACTGTAAACCTAACATGAAATAAGCTTGTGTAAAGAAGGCTGAAGTCTGTTGTGTGTCCTCAAATTAACCAGATTGTGGGTGTAGGTCAAACAGGCAGCTCAGGATGTTCTGAATCAGTTGTGTTCTTTCCTTTAATGCCCAGAATTCCTATAACTTGAAATGCAGGAAATGAAGAGATAGAATTTTTTTTTTAAAAGATTTATTTATTTATGGGCCCTCCCTGGTGGCACAACGGGTTAAAACACTGCACTAAGAAGCTTAAGCCACTTCCGCATGAGTTCGATTCCCACCTGTCCCGGAGGAGATCCGCATGGCGAGGCAGACCTCTCCTGACCGCCCACTGCTCCCCTCAGCAGTGTACTTCATCGATCTGCCTGTTCTGCTCCCCACTCTGTCTCTGGTGAATCCTCTCACCCTCCGCATCTCTGGCCTGTACCCCAGTTCTGTATGCATAAATAAATAAATCTTTTTTAAAGATTTATTTATTTATTTATTTATGCATACAGAACTGGGGTACAGGCCAGAGGTGCAAGGCTGGTGAGAGGATCCACCAGAGACAGAGTGGGGAGCAGAACAGGCATAATGATGAAGTACATTGCTGAGGGGAGCAGCGGGTGGGTCAGGAGAGGTCTACTGCACCATGTGGGTCACCTCTGGGGTGGGGATCGAAGTCATGCTGAAGTGGCTTTTGCCTCTTAATGCTGTGCTATAACCCGCTGTGCTACCAGGGAGGGCCCGAGATAGAAATTTTTGAAGCATTACGGATCTAAAGACTAAAATCCATTGAACCAGTGTATTGGTCAAGTGTGATGACCAAGAAATGTGGACAGGAACTGAAGGCTGTGGTTGGAAGGAAATCCAAATACCTTACTGTGTTGCCAATGACAAGAGTTGACAGGAGCATGTGGGGGCTTCTGCAGGGTTATCAGGATGCCGCCCCCACCCCCTTTTTTGTCCCGTTTATTCTCCTTCAATATTGATATCAGGAGCCTCGTTGCCGACTCTCACAGCCTATCTCTTTGTTAAAAGTTCTAGACATGCATTGTCTTGGTGAGTAATGAGAGACTTGGGCCACACTGAAGTTCTCCCACCTGGATAGGCTGAGAGTTATGATGGATCATTATACACGGGGACGATGTTGTCACTGTTTTATTTAAATTCCAAATCCATTTTGATTTTTCTCAGTTCTTAGCCACTGAAATAGTAGAGATTATTTTTCCACCATTCCTGTTTGTCTGTCTTTCTCCTCCTGCCACGTGTACTCACACATGGAATAAATGTCATAGAAAGATATGGAAAGGCCAGTCACCATTCCTTATTAATATCTGGGCAAAAACTTTCTCTCTACCCTCTTAGGAAACTGGGAAGCTGGGAAAAAACACAAGAGTTTATTGTCACCTGCTTAGAGCTTCTACCTAACTTAGTAGGGAAAAGAGTTTGTGGAGAGGATGATCTCAATGAGAAGAACCATTTAAGTTTTTAGGCAAACAAAAGGAAGATAAGAAAATCTGTGATTGTGTTTATTGTGTTTCTTCTCAGCCATGAAATTCCTCCAAGTAGGGATTTATAGTAGGTTGGTCTCTCTTCTGGGATTATAGCCACACCAAAGAGGGAATTTAGGTAGACCTCTTCTCTCAGAAGTTTCTGCTTTCAGTCAAATAATGGAAGCTCAAAGATTCTCAAAGTACCTCAAATGTTCTTCACTGAAAATAATCTTTATGTCAACTCTGGGATTCTTGTTATGTCCCCACATTGGCAATCAGGAACTTTCCCTTCTCGTTCAAAGTGTGCATCTGAGATTGGTGTCATCTACAATGTCTCCTTAATGCTCAATTTGCAAGACACAAAGACTGCATCTCATGACCAGATTTCTCTGGAACCTCACTAATGCAAAAATGCTTTTAAAAAAAGGAGGAAGAAATCTTTGAACTCTCCCCAGCCAACTCCCCACCACCCCCAAAAGGAACAGGAATTTCCTCTGCAGCTGTTTGAAATGAAGGGGTCTCCCCCTTACCAAATATGTTCCTTACAGCCTCCTCACATCTTTCTGGCTATCTTTGCTATTCATCAGTTCCAGCCGAATGATCTTGCACTTGTTACCTTTTCTCCTTCCTTTTCTTCAGAGATTATTTATAATCTCGGGGAGTTTTCTGCTGTGTACTAGCTTGATTGTCTTTTTCAATATTTTCCTCCCCCCCACCCTCCCCCCCCAAAGAACTTGTAATAGGTGCTTTAAAAACCTTATCTTAGAGTTCACAATAGCCTTGCTGGGCCATTGAATAAATTATATGGTTAAGTGTTTTTCCCTCAGGACTCACACTGACAGGATAAAGTGAGAGGCATTATCCTGTGCTTTTGAGCTTCTCTCTTCACAGATCCTGCTTACAAAATTATGTCATTGGCATTCTGTTTTTAAGCCTTTATGGCAGATCCTTATTTTCGCTCACGGTAAAATCAAGTAATGAAAGGGACTGGGTTTACGGCTTCATAACTTCACCTGGATGCTCAGTGCTGCTGATGGTGCCAGCTGTCTGCATCTCCAAGCCCATCAGAGCCCTTCAGACGGGGCTGCTGACATCTGTCCATTCTTTCTTGGAAGACTGAACAAGGATCACAGTATCAAATGTGTAGCATCCTTGAGAAGATAAATGCAGCTATGCCATTAAACCCCAGCCAGGCAAATCTTATAGCTGCCTTTTGCCTGTATTTCTTGGTAGGTCAATTTTGTTATCTTATGTTTAGCGTCTTTATTAAAAAAGTTGAACAACTGTCCTCATTTATTGACCAACACCTAAACAAACGGTTGTTTTAGGCTGAAGTTGAATGTTCCAAGCAATTTTTCCTCCATGTTTGCATTAATTACTCGTGATCATACTTTCAATTTATTAAAATTTATAAACTTACTGATATCTGCATGAATTCATGGTTCCTGTTTTATTCAGTGGGTGCTCATCTATTGCATATTTGCTTAATTTGGTGCCCCACTTGTCTCAGATCTCACTGGTGGGAGCCACGTCAGGCTTTTTTCTTTTTTTTGGGGGGGGGTCCCTTTGACATTTCTCCATCATTCTTTGAAACTTTATTTTCTGAATCAATGAGATGTCCCCTTGTCTTTTCTCAGCCTAGTCTGCAGTTAGCTATTTCTACAAGGAACTTCAGTTTTCTTGTGATTGTTAGTAGGATTTAGGGCATTGAGGGGAGTGTGTCGAGAGATAGAGGAAAATATTTAGAAAATGAAATCTGATATCAGTCTTTTCACTGCTATTTAGATGCTGCAACTCCTAGGATATCATTGGACAGAGCTAGGGCATTTATGCATGAATAGTGCATACATTCATGTAGATGTCTACACACACACATAAAACACTGCTGCATTTATATTTATGGGGTATCTATTGTTCCAGAGATCTCAAGATCCACCTTCATGTTCCAAGTTTCTCTATAAGGAACCTGGGAGCTGCATATAGTTGCACTCATGACTAACGTGTGTTATAGCACTGTATAAGCATGCAAGATCATAACGAAAAAGGAATTGGGGTCTGGAAGAATCTCCACGAGCAGACTTCCTTATGCTCTCTCTTGTCTCCCAGAGAAGTGCAGACACATGTTTTTTATTGGGAAGTGGGTCAAGCTTTGCATAACAAGTAGCAAAATTCTAGACTCCCAGAAAGAAAACAGGTCAGATACTTGGCACAAACCAATTTTTTTTTTTTAATTTTTTGCCGATAAGTCTAGGCACAATTAACCATCCATATCACTCCCCAAATACAAGTTCCCAAATCCCAAACAAGGTATCCAAACTTGCAGTCAGGTTTTCTAAAAAGAGTAGTTTCAGCCTGGACCTTAGACGCTCTCTGGACACTTGTGAATGAACTCGGGCTCCTGCTCCAGACTGGACACTGCAGGGTTCCTTCGAGTCTTTTCCTTTCTGAAAATCACAGCACCGTGTCTGACCGTGGGAACCTGGCTCACACTCATCAGTCTGTTTATTTGATCAATCTTGTCTCTTTGTTCTTCTCCTCACTCGACTGGTGTGCCAACATTCAGGGCCAGATCTCCCCATCCCACCTGTATCGGGCTGTCTCTGGGTGCAGATACCCTTGTCTGCACAGTACCCAGTGGCCAGTGCAGGGGGCCGCCATGCTGCCCTTCCTCACCCACTACAGGTCTGCTTCCTTCCCAGTGAAACTTAATGAAGGCAGCTTCTTGGCACCAACGCCTGTGGAAAAGAAAGGATAGAGCTGGCTTGATAGGGAATGATCCAGCACAGTCACAGCCCAGCTCTGGAGTTCAAATGGCTCCCCATGGGGTGGGTCGCGCAGGACAGGTTTGACCTCTGCCGTGGTAGTCAGGGCCGGTAAGCTGACTGGGGAAAGGAAGGGGCAGGGAGCAGATGGGACAAACCCGAAGGGGCTGACAACTGGAGGCATCTGCCGGCTGCAGCCCCGGCAGCGGGCACAAGTCAGTCTCGGCAGCTACTCACGGCCCACGCATCACCCCTGGAGGCACCTGCAGTTTTCATAAATTCAGATTGGCCTTTCCTATTGTGAGGTGTTTTACTAAAACACTGGCTCCACTGAGTCCTCTCAAGCTCTCCTTTTAGCCTCCCAGGAATGTTTGTTGGCTTTTTTTCTGGCATCCTCTACTGTGCTCCTGAAAGCATCTGCTTGGAAATTTGCACGTCTAGGAACATAAATATCTGTCATTGAGCCCTACTTCCACAGTTTGAATTCTGACCTGCTTTTCTGTTAACATTTCTCCTGCTTTTTGTAGCTTCTGTTATTGTTAAAAGAATTTTAAGAATCTTGATTGATACTGAGCTCTTTAGAAGAGAGACCCCTAGAACCACCACAGTGGTAGGGGTATAAAAAACTGCAGGAGAAAATGTATCCATAAAGTATTTTTATTGTAGATTTTCTAAGATAGTAGTGATAGGCCGCATTCTCAGAGTGCTGTTTTATCATGTGACACAGCAAAAGTAATAAAGCAAGAATCACCCAGAAGTGAACCAGGAGTCCCTCCCCAGGGGCTGGGGACATATTTCTACATCTCGGGTCAATATAGGTCCTGGAAAATCAACAGTGTACAAGGCTGTGGGATTTAAAGCATGATCTTATCTACAAAGAATCACTTTCTAGTTCTTACAACACAGAAAATCAAGCTTGGCACATCAGAGAACTGGAAGAACAAGCACTACAGAGGACATAGGTGTGGAAGACCAGTGAAGGGACATAAAGCTCAATTTTTTCAAGTTAGAATTTACTTTTTTTTTTTTTTTTTGCTGTTGATACCGTAAAAATGATTTAGCCTTTTTTAAAAGGATATAAAAAAATAGGCAAGGTATGAAACTGAATGTCATACCCACAAACTACAAAAGTAAGGACTCCAGATGTTAGCTTCCTTCTTGCACAAATTTCCTGAGCCCTGTTGGGCTTTGTGACGGGTGTTGTACCTGCGTGTACAGGTGTGGCAGAACAGATTTGGCAAAGATGTGGTCATCTCACAAGTGGACAATGTCTGTTTACCTCGGTGGTCTGCCTCCTTGGAGTTTGGTTAGTTTTACAAGTAGCACAAGTTTTATTAGCTTAATCTACCAGTCCCTGGTATTGTTCTGGAAAATAAATTGTTAGTTTTCACCTTGTCAGTTAGGATATCGGGGACATTACACCCAGTGAGTGAGGGTGTCACTGAACAAGTACTGCTACTTTGACACCATAATAAGCTCTTTTCAGTACCTTCAGTAAAGTGTGGCGTAAATACAGACCTATGATCTGTGGTCAACCAAAACGTCTTAATTATTTCATACTCATAGCATTAAAAAAATATATTAAAAGGTGATTCTAACTTATTTCTGAGTAGGCCTCTTTTCCACCAGGTATTATTTACATCACTATGGCCACAATTATTTGGATGAGGTCTTTAGTACCTATTCGTAAAAACAAGAATACATCCAACCTGTTTTCCAGAATGACATCTTCACATCTTTCTTTTTTTTTTTTTTCTCCAAACCTCAAAATGAGCAACAATGGGAATATCTAGATACCAGAAACATCCTCACTCCCTCATGTTGCTTCTTTTCTGTCTGGGAAATACAGAAGTCTTCCTGTAACTGTGAGCACTACAGGGGCTTGCTGTGACGCTAATCCTTTCCCACTGTGCCTCATCTGCTGCCGGGGTTGCTGTGCATTTTGGTTCATTTTTCCCTTTTAAAAGGTGCTCCCACCTTTTCAGCGTGACCTGTCACCATTCTGCACAAATATGATTTGCTATATACTGGAGGCCTGGTGGCCACCAATTCGTATGTTGAGACCTAACCCAAAGGTGATGGTACTAGGAAGGTGAGGCCTCAATGAGTAATTAAATCACAAGGGGAGCCTGCTTGGTGGGAATAGTGTTCTTATAAAAGACTCCAGAGAGCTCCTTCCGCCCCTTTCTGTCATGTGAGGTCACTGTGAGAAGATGGTGTCTGTGAGCCAGCAAAGTTCCTCACCAGATGTGGACCCTGCCAGCACCTTGATCTGGAACTTCCGGCCTCCAGAGCTGTGAGGGACACATTTCTGTTGCTTATAAGTTGCTCAGTTTATGGTACCTTGTACGGCAACTGGAGCCAACTAAGATGCCATGTATGAGTAATGGAAATAGCCCCCTTTCAGCAATGTGATACACAGTCTTGATAAAGACAACATTGCCATTGATCAGAATTTGCATGGTCTTCATGGCAGAATTGTGATTCTGCAAGCACTCCTCTTTTTCAAAAATTAAATATTATAGTGGCAAGAAAAGGTACTCTGTATTTTCTTAACTTTATTTTGAGGCTCATAGCATACTGCTAATACTTGATGTTAAATTACGTAGAGCACAATGAGAGAGTGCTGAACAGAATTTTTTATTGCACTTACTGTTTCATCACGGCTGTGACATACGTTATGTGTGAGATGGGGATATTCTTTAAACAGACATTTTTTGTGAGCCCTTAAGGGGATGATAAAAGCGCCTTTCATGGAAATCACACACAACCTGCTTTGTTGATAGGGAATAAAGGGGCTTCTTTGGAATATGCTGGACAGATAGGGCTGAGTGACAGTGCTTTTGTGTCTTTCCTTTTCCTTGTTTCTAGGTACAGAGGCAAAACATACAGGGCTGTGGCCAAGATTGTACGGACGTCTGACCAAGTAGCAGATTTCTGCCGGCGAGTCTGTGCCAAGCTGGAGTGCTGTCCAAATCTGTTCAGTCCTGTGCTTATTTCTGAAAACTGTCCAGAGAACTGCTCCATTCATACCAAAACCAAATACAGTAAGTAAAGTAGTGAAGAGGACCCTGGCCCTGGGCTTGCATGGCAGGGTTACGATGCACTCAGTATGTTTTTAAACTTCTGAGTACTTTTCACAGGCATGCTGTGGAAGGAGTGTTAGAAACTTCTTCCTGGCATAGTGTAAGGAAGGGGCGGATGGCTAAAACAGGGTGCATTGTCACTGGTAAGAGTTAGTAAAGCAGAAGTGAGAGTGTAGCTGCTGACACAAAAATGGTCCTTTGCCGTGGCTAATCACCAGAACAACTCAGTCGGGGTCCTTACACTGAGGAAATATATCAGTCCTTTCTTTGCTCTTCTCTTCAGGGGGTGCGCTTGGGGGTGCTGGGAGTGGGGCAGGGAGAGCACCTCTTTGTCATTAACCAGCTCCCTCTGCTTACTTCACTTTGCTCACACCTCTCCAGTAGAGGTTTTGATGGAGTTCAGAAACAGGTGTCATTGCCTTTACTCCTAACTGCCCTCACCTCTTCACCTGGGCTTTTAAAATATATTTATTTGTTTGTTTATTTTTTACATAATTCTTCATTTTGTGCATTTTTTCATCTTGGTTGTAATTCCCGTGGACTTCCCACCATGTGCCATCACCATAGACCCATGTGCTCCTCCCACCCCAGTTTTGATCCTGTTCTCCTCTCCACCCCCCGTTAAATGTCTCTGGTTTATAGTTTTTCATTGTTTTTCATCTTTATTACAATTGCCTTTCCCCCCAACCCCCAATCCATTATACTCCTCTATGAGTGAAACCACCCGGTATTTTTCTTTTTCTTTTTGGCTTATTTCAGTAAGCATGATCCCTTCCAGCTCCATCCATGTTGCTGCAATGGCAGGGACTTTTTCTTTTTGTTTGCTGGGTAATATTCCATTGTGTATATATGTACCACATCTTCTTGATCCAGTCATCTATTTTTGGGCATTTGGTGTTGCTTTCACATCTTCCCTATTATAAGTAGAACAGCAGTAAACATAGGGGTGCATTCACCTGGGGGTTCACCCACTCCCTGAGCTCTGATGTCTTCCCTGTAGGGACCCTTCCCGCTCCTTAGCACTTCCTTCTTTGTTCCCATCTCGTGTGCAGACCTCTGCTTCCTCATGTTGGCTTCTCTCAAGAAGGGAGAAGTCCTTCCTTTATTCTGATTTTTCTTAATATTTATTTTTATTTACACATACAAGAGCTGGGGTGTAGTCCAAAAGTGGCGGGGGCGGGGTAGGGGACATTGAGAAGATTCCCCAGAGACAGAGTGGGGGGCAGAACAGGCAGATGTACTGAAACACACTGCTGAGGGGAGCAGCAGGCAAGACAGCTGTGCCCCGTGGTCAGCTCCCTGGCCAACGATCAAACTCATGCTGCAGTGGCTTTGCAGAGCTTCACAGTGCTAAGACTTAACCCACTGTGCCACCAGGGAGGCCCCATTATATTCTGATTTTCACCTCCAGGCACCTTAGCCCCTCCAGATACCTCCTCTTCAGGTATCTCCAACTCTGAGAATGCTCTCTCTGATCCCTGCCTTCTGCTCTTTCTGTGATTCCCCTTGGATAGCTCTAAACCAAGAACTGACTTCCAGGTCATAGTCACTGCCAGCTTTCTCTGCTGTCAATGTCCAGGCAGCTGCTAGGGTCTCTGAGTCTCCACTAGTTGGAATTTTTCAGTGTATCTGTGAGAACCAGGGATCTGAAAGACTTGGACCCCGAGAGTGTGAATTTCCTTCTGTTTTAGATACATTAAAAAAAATCTGTTTTCTGGTTGGCCCCTGTTTGAAGTCAGTGGCCATCTCTGTTACAATGAACCCTATTTCACTCTGCTTAACAAGGTCCCTTGTTGAGGAACTGGGTTTGTTGGCACATTTGACAAAATGTGAAGAACTCATTTCCCCATCACATCACCTTTCACCAGAGCAGGCTGTTCAGTAAGATGTAGCTGCCCCCGCCTCAGAAAGGACTTGAATGAACTTGGTACCTTTAGGATGTGGGGAGGAGAGGGGGAGAGGCATGTCGTTACAACTCAGACACAATTGACATGAACATGAAGGTTTTTCTGGTCTGGTTTTCTAAGACTTGGAAAGCCTGAGGACCCTTGCAGTCATGTTTTGCTACTGAGTAAACTGCAGGGCTGGAGTGGGTGGAAGCAAAGGCTGTGGTGCCCTGGCTCTTTCGAAGGCGCAAGGAACGTGCCTCACCTTTGGCTGCCTTTGGTAAAACCAGCTCTGATTTCTAGCATCGTGCCCCTAAAACAACCAGACAGTGCCAGACCTGAATACCTCTTGGGCCTTTGGGCATGAACAGTGCTTCTTCCTTGGCACCAGAGATCATGTGCCGCAGCACAGTGCTACCTGGGGGTGTGGTCCCCCCAGGTGTGCAGATGGTGTATTGCTTCAAGTTCTGTTAGCACTTTCCCGCCTCAGGAGTTGGCGAGAATCTGCAGATACTGTGACAGCTGGTGTAGCTTCTGTGGCTTATATGGTTGCAGTTATTAGGTTTCTCAAAAGTTTTTCAAACTTTCATCCTCATGGACCAAAATCAGGCGAGAGCTATCAGAATTTCTCCTCAATGCAAACTGCACTGCTTAGTACTTTGGTTTCATTTTGCCTATAAGGAGGCTAGGTGCAGAGGCCTGTGGACTCCCCATCTGGACAGTGGGCGCCATGCCCCATCGCAGGGTGGGGGCAGCTGCTCACACCTTGTTGCAGTGCATGTTGCTGACTGTCTTTTGGCCTCCTCCAGCCACGGTGCTGGTCCTGTGCTCCATTTGCTCATTTTCTGCTATAGCAGGAGTCACGTACAAGGCATTGAGGCCTTGGTTAATGATTAAGCTGTCTTGAGCATCATCATAATTGAAAACTGGTTCTTTCATGGTGGTTTTAATTTGTTGATTATACATTCATTTTATAAAATCAGTTTATTACAAGTTGGTCATTTTCTAACTAGCAAATTCAGGAGCAGTGAAAGTCTCTACTGAATCAAAAGGAATGAAGTATATACTTGTGCAGTAGGTAAGACACACAGCAGAATGGAGGAGTTATTCCACTGTTTTGGCCCGTGTGCCCAGCAGCAAAAACTGGGGCTCTCCTGAGTGGGTGTTCCTCGTGCTTGTTGCCTCCTTCCTCTCCAGGAGTCAGACTTGGGAGCCGCTGACAGAGCCCCCCCATGGGAGGTAACTGCTCCCACTGTTTGCAGTAGTGGGGCAGGAAAGGGGTGCAGAGACAAAGTCCTATAAGAACTGTAGGTATATTTGACTCATTCTCTGTGTTAGTCAGTTTCGGCTGCCAAAATAAAACACCACAGACTGGACATAGGCACTTATTTCTTGAATTTCTGAAAGTTAAAAGTGCAAGACCGAGGTGCTCAGCCAGATGGGGGTCTCCTTGACCTCTAGGCAACCGTCCTCTCACTGTGTCTGCCTCACACGGCTGTCCCTTTGTGCTGGAACATCGGGGAGTCCTCTTCTGCTTACAGAGACACCAGTCCTGACCACCTGGAACCTTACTTGGCCCCCTAAAAGCCCCACTTCCAAATACAGTCATGTTGGGGATTTCAGCTTAAACCCTTGGATTTGGGGGTGGGAGGGAACACAGTTCAGGTCTGTCCATAATATTGGACAGTGTTTGCTCTCAGTGGAGCTGTAACTTGGAATTATTTTCTGAGATATCTGTGAGATGTCAAATTTTTTAAATTATTTTCTGAGATATCTGTGAGATGTCAAATTTTTTTAATTCCAAGTAGAAGAATGATCTCTCTCTCTCTCTCTCTCTCTCTCTCTCTTCTGATTTTCATCTCATCCTCTTCCTCTTGTCTCTCTGCTCTCTTCCTCTATGTGGATAATCTTTTAACAAAAGTTTTCATCTTCTCTCCCTTTGTAGCCTATTATTATGGGAAGAGAAAGAAGATCATCAAACCCCCAATTGGGGAAAGCAACATAGAGAGCGGACACCCTAAGCCAGCCAGACGGAGGAAACGGCGGAAATCCATTTTTGTTCAGAAGAAGCGGCGGTCTTCTACTGTGGACTTTGCAGCGGGCTCTGGGGAGGTAAGTGCTACCCAAAAGCACCTTCTACTATTCACCTGGGATGCAGGGCCCTGGCTGGTGGTTAGGCCCAGCTTTGATGCTAATGGTTAGAAACATGACACACCAGTAACACCCCCCTCCTTGTGTGCGGAAGACAATTTAGCACGCAGCTGCTCCAGCTAGGAAGGGCCGTTGTCTAGCCTGTCAGAGGTCTGTGTGGACAAACTCGGAAGGTGGTTTGTGCAGGCCTCCCCGGTCAGGAAAGGAGGCAGGCTTCATACCTAGCCTGCCACTAAGCTGTAGGTGCCCCCATGCTTCCAAAGGCCCCTGCTGTCTGCCTCGCTCAGCACTTTCCCTTCTTCTAGGAAAGTGAAGAAGAGGACGCCGATGCCATGGAGGAGGACACTGGCAGTGAAGAGACTGGCTCCGAGCTCCGGGATGACCAGACAGACACCTCCTCTGCTGAGGTCCCCTCCGCCCGGCCACGCAGAGCCGTCACACTACGAAGCAGCTCAGAGCCAGAGCGCCGGCCGCCCCTGGAGAGGGTGCGCAGGGGGCGCAAAACACAGCCCCCCACCAGTGCCCAGGGTGGTGACAAGGGCGACAAGGGGCCGGTGGCCGGCCACGACACAGCTGAGGTACAGCCTGAGCGCATGGGAGCTGGCTTGTCTGGTGTGGCCTGCACGCAGAGTATGTTTAAAAAGAAGATCCATTAGAGCTGGGGTGGGGCCTCAATTTGAGGACCCTTGTTTAAATATTAAAACTAATACCGCAGCTTGGATCTTGAGTCACGGACCAAGGGCTTAGTGGGTCAGCATGAGAAAGGGCTCTGGGAGAAGAAAAGCACCTCTTTGTCCGGAAGGCTTAAAAGTCACAAATTCTTGTCAGGAAAACAGATTATGTCTTCCTGGGCTCTTCATAGGCTACTTCTGTGATGTGTCCTATTAAATGTCACTTGGGTCTCCCCTAAATTTCCAGCAGCATATGATCAGCTGAAAGATCATCAGTGTGGTGTCACAAAATTAAATTGGGGGTGCTGAGACGACACCGGCCCATTCTGCATTTGTGTGTGTCCCTGATCACTCCTACTGTTCAGACATGTGCCACTAAAAAGCAGGTCTGCCCCTCCTTGATGGCACAGCAGGTTAGGGTGCAAGCTGGTTGCAGCCGCTTCAGTGCGAGTTCAATCCCTGACCCCGGAGGTGACCCACATGGTGTGGCAGACCTCTCCTGATCTGCCGCTGCTCCCCTCAGCAGTGTGCTTCGTCAGTCTGCCTGCTCACTCCCCACCCTATATCTGGTGAAGCCTCTCCCTGCCCCTGAACTCAGCCCTGCACTCCAATTCTGTATGTATAAATAAATAAATCTTTAAACAGAAAAAAGAGAGGAAGAGAAGCAGACCTAGCTTTCTTGTATGTGAGCTGCAAGAGTGACTGCAGGCAAAGTCATGATCCTCTTAGTTGCTAAGAAAGTTCTAGAGCTTGAAGGTGAGAGACCACAGGGAGGCTCAGGCCTAGGGTTTAGAAAGGGTCCTGCACAACTCCATGACAGCGTGACCTCCTGTTTCCTTCCCTCTGCAGGAAATAAAGCAAGAGGAAGAGGAGAGACTCATTCTGGACAGCAACCCTTTGGAGTGGACAGTGACCGACGTGGTGAGGTTCATTAAACTGACAGACTGTGCCCCCTTGGCCAAAATATTTCAGGAACAGGTAAGCAGATTCTGTTACCTGTTGGCTATTTTATGTTATGGGGCCTGGGTCTCTGGTACCCTCTGCTTTAGCTGGCTTATTGTGGCTCGGCACAGACTAGAGGAAAGTCACTTCCTTCTTCCTTCCTGCTGCATTGGGGGGCAGGGTTGTTGTGTGCTGGCTCCCTAAGCAGTTCCCGTTGAACTTCCTGGGAGGGTCTTTGCTAGCAGGTGGAGGTCTCACCTCTCTTCTTCGTCTTCTCAGATTTACCCCTTATATGGGGGTTGAGGGCCTGATGCCATCTGCCAGGCTTGAAGTCAATGGCCTCTGCTGGCCATTGCTGGAATACAGGGAGAGGGCCCATGTCCTGCAGTGGATTTCCAGGTCCTTTGACTGGGGAGAGTAGACTTTCCTTAAACATCTTTTTGTCCATATCATTAGTATGTCATGGTTGCCAGCTTCTTTTAGCAATAAGCCTTGTCAGTAAGGAGCAAACCAAAAATACCCAAAGACCTCATGTCATAGGCTGGGTCCTTAAGTTCCTAGCCTTCTCTCCATTTATCAGTCCTTTTTGTGTCTATTTTATAACATCCAGACCTTTTAGTATCCACAAACTAGGAATAGGGAAAAGTATAACATCTTGTCTTAAAGAAGTGGAAGGCCTTGGTCCAATTGTGTTTTATTTCATGCTACTTTCAGCTCAATTTTTGTACTTTCTTTCTAAAATATTTTAAAACCTTTGGTGTGTGAGGTACTCAGTAAGGAGTAGATAGATGTGAGCACAACTGATATAAATTATGCCTTGAGGAATTTTTAATGAACCAGATTATAATTAACTAAATGTTAGACATGTTCTGATATGCTGTAAGAAAGAGGAACTTTTATTTTCATTTTCCTTTAAGTTAATATGAAAACACAATTCCCCTCTGTAAACACAGTCCACCTTGCAAACAGATTTCTTACTGGTCTTGAATTTAAAAATGCAAGTTTGAGCCTATGATTCTGGCTGCTGGTGTTTGCTTAATTTGTTGAAATTCCTTGCATTGTCTCACAATGTAAATACCTATTTTTCAAGACCTTCTGTTGTTAAAATATACTATGTCCCATATAACAAATGTAAGCTGTGTTTATTCAGTTTTTTTTTTTTTTTTTTTTTGAGATTATACCAATGAAAGGACAAGAGTTTTTCCCACCTAGATTCCAGCTGGCTGCAGAAGCTCATGATTGTGTGAACGCTGAGAAGTCAGCAGTCATGAGCTGATACCAATTATAAGTTTCTAGCAATAGTAAGAAAGTGAAACCAAAGCTGATTTGGGGGGAAAAGGCTAAACTACTATTTATATTTTTTCCCTTAATTGTGCTTCTAAGCTCAATTTATAACAGTAGCTAGAAATCCTCTTACCTTCCCACACTCAGATTTCTAAGAAGTGAGTGTTCTTTGCATGGCCCCACTTCTGGGTAGAGCAATGTCCGCTTCCCCTACCTTCAGCTGCCCTTCTCACATCAGTTAAAAGCTGGGTCCTGGCCCTCTCTGGTGGTGCAGCAGGTTAAAGCAAGCATTAAGAAGCTAAAGCCACTGTAGCATGAGTTCGATCCCTGACTGCCCCGGAGGTTGATCCACATGGCGTGGCAGACCTCTCCTTACCTGCCCGCTGCTCCCCTCAGCAGTGTACTTCGTTGATCTGCCTGTTCTGCTCCCCACTCTGTCCCTGGTGAATCCTCTCACCACTCCTGCCCATCTGGCCTGTACCCCAGTTCTGTATGCATAAATAAATAAATCTTAAAAAAAAAAAGCTGGGTCCTACACACCTATTTATTTCTCACATAGAGAAGAAAATAGGTAGACTTTAATTGAAAATGGCCTTATTCCCACTTAATTTTAAATTTCACATTAGACCATTTTACCTGTTGTAATAAAGCGCGTTCCCCACTGGGCTCAGGAGTGCACAAGCACTTGAGTCCTTTACTGTTCAATCAGACCTTGAATTACTAATTTTTACTAATTTGTTCTAGCATCTGTATGCCCACTTGCCACAGTCCTGAGTTGGGAGGCCTCCAGCAGGTCACTGCAGGTGTCACGTGAGCTCTTAGATGAGCTAGAAGGAGCCCATGGTGTTACTCACTTCCTGTGAGAGAGATCGTGGGGCTTGCACTGATAATCACTCCATGCGCTCATTCTTCTGGATGTTATGAATTCAGAGACTATTGTAACACCAGGAGCATTTATAAAAATTATAAACTCTTCATTACTGGAACACATGCCTTTTAATTCTGAAATAGTATGGCAACTGCTTTAAAAATCTGTACTCTGTAATTTCATGCTGCAGATATGCACATTATAACGAACAAAAAGTCCACAAAGAGCTAAATAAAATTCCTACTTATTCACAATTTTTAAAAAAGATTGATTTATTTATGCATACAAGAACTGGGGTACAGGCCAGAGGTATGGAGGGTGAGAGGATCCACCAGAGACAGGGTGGGGAGCAGAACAGGCAGATTGTTGAAATACACTGCTGAGGGGAGCAGCAGGCAGGTCAGGAGAGGTCTGCTGCGCCATGTGGGTCACTCCCTGGCGGGGGATCAAACTGGTACTACAGTGGCTGCGGAGAGCTTCATAGTGCTGTGTTTTAACCCATTATGCCACCAGGGAGGGCCCCTTATTTACCATTTATGAACAGATCCATACAATAAACAGACTACTCAAATTAGTGATTTACTTTTGATAAAAAAAAAAAAAACTTCAACATCGTTTACAAGTTTAGTTTCCATTTCCATTTAGACTCTTCCACCTCTACCTTTGTAGGCCTGAGAATTCCTGTTAAGGAACTACAAGTCCTAATCTGATTTCTACATCAAAATTAATTTCATTTTGCCATGACGCTAAGCATATTTTTCATGTTACATTTCATTTCTTAAAGATAAGCAGTCCACTTACTGCAGTTCTGTTTCACAAAAGCATCTTGCCAGCAGAACTGAATTACATAGGAGCATATTTATAAAACTTGTATTAGCTGTGAGATCTGTAACTACATAATCAATGAAATAAGTAATTTTCCCCCAACCAAAGCTACCTCTGAGCAGCTGTTGGTGGGGTTCCCTACTCCTCGTGTGTCTGTCACTGGCCTCATTTTGCTGCTCTGCTCCCATCTTGCCCTCCCGCCCTGATGTGGAACAAGGAGTGTGGCTGAGGGTTACATGCCACCTGCAGCATAAACGAGAATCAGGAGGTGCATGTCCTGCGACCCTTGTCTTGTCACTGAGCTCTGCCACTGTTCATACTCATCACCGACTGTTGATGATCAGGCTGCTAAACCTAGAGCTTTTCAGACAGAAAGAGCCCTGGGGGTGTGGAAATCAGAGGTGTGGCTTTATTCTTGGCAGACTCTAGGCTGCAAAATGATAACATCTGGAGAGAAGATGGTAGATGAGTTGAGAACCCTTAGTTTGCTCACTGACAGCCCCTCCCCCCACTTTAGTTATTGGTCAGTTCTTCCCAGATAAAAAGCATGATGAAAGTTCTCTCTAACTAATCCAGTGGTTTAGCTTTAATCTAATCCCCAGCCTCTTAGTGTTCATCTCATCCAGCTGCTCTGTTCCTCCTCAGTTCTGTAGTTGCAGATAAAGGGCTTCGACCTGAGCCACTGTGAATCCCACATCCAACCCCTTCTTAAGAGGTGAAGTTCAAAGACATGGACTCGATTCCATCCACTTCAGGTTGCTCATACCTGAGAGCCACGCCACAGAGCATAGACTGCCCCCAACCTTGATCCATCTGCCCCCCCAGCCATGACTTCAAAACCAAGGTCCCTTGTGAGCCAACTCTTTTACCATTGCTGCCGACTGAGCAGAAAGAGGGAGGGCTGAGGAGGGGGCAAGAGGAGACTGATCTGATAGAGGCCAGAGAATGCCAGCCTGGGGCTCCTGGGGCCCTCAGAGGTTTGCCATGTAACTGTGTGACTTTCCCAAACCCTGCTGGCTTTGGAGGCCTGCCTGTGCGTTCTTTCTTGGGATGTGATGCAATGAACTCAGGGCTTAGTGAGGATGTACAGAACAGGATGCTTTTTTGCGAAAGTTTTGTTGAAACTCCCAAATAGCCTTTATGAAAACATGTTGTGGAATCCGTTTTATTAGTTTATCTCCTGTTTTCAGTGTGTATTCAAGACAAATGTGTTTGCTTGATGATTTGACAAGGTCTTGCCAAGCCTTGCTGGAGACATGGCTTATAGTTGCATGGAGCATACCGAGTGGTCAAGCATAATTAAAACATAATAAATTGCTCTTGCATCGATAATTTTTAGTTAATGCTTAATTTTTATTGCTGCTGTGTTTATTTGGGAAAAGTGCCTTTTAAAGTTGATCATATGATACATTGTGTTTATTAATATTATCAATCCTCTCGAGGCCCACACTTATGCCCATTTTGGGATTTTACTAAACTAACAACCCTTTAGGTTTAAGAAAATACCTATGTGATGTTACTTGATATTTTCTCAGATAGTATGCTTGCAGACAGTTACAGGGCTTAAGTTACTGTGGCTTATGGCAGCCCAGGCTGAACTACCTCAACGACTGGCAGAAATTCTGGTGTGCTGTGTTCAGCTTATACTCTCCTTCACCCACTGATCCTTCCCAGTACCTGAAAAGTATCTTGGTTATTATGAGGCCTCAGATATTTCCTCTGCGATTTGAAAACTGGTGAATAGGGAGGGGGGGTTGCAGCTAAATTTAGTATCCCAGCCATCAGTACCCACTTGAATAAGCCTGATTATTATAGGCAGCAAGAAAAGATGGCCAATGGGGTGGTCTTGAAGTTTTGGGGTTAGACACTGAACCCTTTTTCCTGCAGCAAAAGCATTTAATGTTGTTTTAGAGTTATGTTCACTGTGTGAGCCCCCATGTATAGATGCAGAAGAGCTAAGACAAAGCAGTGAAGCAGGAAGCAGGCCTATATAGAGATCACACTCATTTGGGTGATGTCTGTGTGTTGATGTAGGGATGTGTGTGTGTGTGTTCTCGTGTATGGATAAATGCATGTGTTTTCCTTTATGGGGAGCTGTGCTGTGCAGCTGGCTCAGCTCTTTAGCATCTTCTCACCATTCTGATGGTGAAATGTCAGACCTTGGCAGGAGTGGGGGAGAGAAAGAGAGAGACATCAGAGAAGCCAAGATTTTCTTATCAGAAACATTTTGTTAATCAAAGATTGCACAGTCATAAAGCCACATTGGTTTCTCTGCCAGTGCTCTTCAAAGTCAGGCAGCCAGTGGCCCTTCATGCTCTGGGCCCTGGGAGGAAGGCTTGGTGTCGTGCAACCATCCCAGGCTGAGGGCTTCACAGTTGGTTCAGGCAGGTGGAAAAGAATAGACCCTTTAATGCTGAAGCAAGGGCCCAGGTGCACAGTGGGCAGGGAGGCGATTGTCCCACCCCTCACATCTCTGCACTCCCTCTCAAACTTCTCTGGTGTCTCTCTGTCTTCTCCACCACCTCCTGATTTTAGGCGTGAGGCCAACATTGCCCTAAACGCACACCCCTTTCTCTCCATCTTCTCTGCCCACGTGTGCACAGTCCTGGGTGTGCATGCCCAACGCTTATACTCTCCAGTGCTTTATTCACTAACATGATATCACATGTGGGTAATGCAGCCTGGGAGGAAAACAAAGCTGGAGGTGGCAGCTGTAGAGCCTGGTAGTGGGAAGCAAAAAAGAGCCTGAGTAACTGTGTTTTCCTTGCCCTGATGACACTGTCTCTTCTCTAACCTGACTTTATTTCCCCACAGGACATCGATGGCCAAGCACTCCTGTTGCTGACTCTCCCAACGGTGCAAGAGTGCATGGAGCTGAAGCTGGGGCCCGCCATCAAGTTATGCCATCAGATCGAGAGGGTCAAAGTGGCTTTCTATGCCCAGTATGCCAACTGACACGCCCTCCTTGGCGGGTGGCCCGGTCCCTGGTTGAAGCAGTGTCTTGGGGAGGTTCAGGACTGCAGCCTTTCTTTTTCTGGGATACGGGAGATGATACCTACACCAAGTATTGTGGAAAAGTGAAATGCGTAAAGGACCTCCGTCACCCACCAGCCCATTTGTACTCCATGTTTTGAAAGCACACCTGCGTCCCCAGCAGTGACTTCTGGAGAACAAAATAAAATATCATGATGGGATATGGAAGCACATCTTTGTACCGCCACAGCTCACCTTCCTCCCAGACCAGAGCAGACCGCTGCCTTTGAACAGTCTCCTAAACCCAGGCTTGCATTTCCTTTTGAAAGCTAAGATGCCATTGTCTTTGCGGAGGGGACCACGGAGGACACATAGCAGTAGTTTTGTGGTGATCACTCTCAGGCAAGCTGATTGATGCTTCTTTCACACCCACACCCAGTGACTGTGGTGGCTGCTGCCATTTTATCTTGGTGGCATTTCATTCGCAAACACAATTGTAGGCAATGCTATAGGATGTAATTATCCAAAGGTGGCTGGACCTGCCTCTTCTGTCAGAGGTGCCTTTTCAGAAGTATGGGGAGGGTAGTGGGAGGTGGACCACTGTCATGAGACAGTTTTCCTTGAGTGACGGACACCTCGAAAGAGGTGTGGAGAGGTGTGCTATTTGCTGAATTGTGTAATGGAAGAAAAGCTTAATTTTGGAGAGTCAGAGCAGGAAGAGATTTGAGGGGAGCTTTTTAGAAGCCAGCTACATCCCTGTCGAAGGATCACTGTGGCAGAGCTCCTGGGGTGACCTCCTTTGAAGAGCACCCCCTTGGTTCAGCTCAACCCGAACACCCCTCAACTATGTAGGTGAGCCTGCATGTTGCCAGTAAGCAGTGTGACCCACGCTGGGGCTGACATGACTGCTTTTATCCTGGTGTGCCTGATGCCTAAGTCAGTGACTTTGAGCCACTCTGGGCCTCATTCCTGTGAAGCAACAGGTTGGAACACTCAGGATTGAGGCTTGTAAACACACATCCCCTCATGCCCACCCATCTCAGGCTGGCAGGCAAGAGTCCAGCATAGCCGAACAAAGAAAAGTAAACGGAGCTGAAGTGTTTGGCCACAGCTTTGAGTGTGTGATTCCTTTAGCTCACTCTGGTTTGGGTGACATTTCTTGAAGTTGGATATCATGAAGTCAGTTAGTCCTTTCTGGAGAGCTGTGGCGCTGGGGATTGGCTGGTTTTCTGCAGCAGCCACTCACTGGAAGTGCTCGTGTGTGAGTCCATGCTCTCACTCAAACCCAAGCCACTCTCCTGCCGTGGTTGTTGCCCAAACGCCTTTTTAAACTTATGCAAGGAAACGGACTCTTCAGATTGCTCCAGAATGGACGAGGGCAGCAGAGGCTGCTCACCCTTCTGTTACTTTTCTACCATAATCGCCTTGATCTTTGCTTTGATTAGACTCTCAACCACTCCAGGAATATTGTGTACTGGGCTCATACACTGCTCATTTTTCTGTTACATTTTAAGGTGTGAGATTATCTGTCAGAGTTGAAAAGTCTGATTGCAGATGCTAACCTTTGTGAACATGCTGTTGCTGTTTCAGATGAAAATGGAAGCAGGTAATTTGCAGCTGAGCCATGTTCATCTCCCCTGTAGCTGATTCCTGCAGTCCCTTTTAAACATTTGGCAAATGATTTTGCCGGGGTTCTGGGATGGAAGCTCCGTGTCCTATCGGGGTGGCCGTGTCCACGTGACACAGGCTTGACTTGCAGTTCGAAATGTCTTTCTTCGACTCTAAAGTTCGGACCTGCTTTCAGTTTCCTACCCCTGCCTGCCTCAGCCACATGCTTTTGGCCTTAAATGCTAAGTCTTGTGCAGTTAAACTCTGTCAAACAATCGGAAAGGGTACCCATTTCAAGATCTTTGGCATTTTCCCACACTGACTCATTTATGATCCTTCACTGTGGCCTTTTCAAGCTGAGCTATTTCTGTTACATTTGAAATGGGAATGAAGGATGTGGTAGTTACAACACAGTGCTATACTTGCTGGAGGACCGCCACCTTCTCTCGCCCTTTCTAGTAGAAGCGTGGAGGAAGAGGGCCACCATGGAGCTGGGAGCTTCTGCATATCTCCCCCACCTGGAGCAGGATGGCTTCCCTTGGGGCTCCCGAGGCAAGACCCAGCCACCACGGGGCTCCAGGCCAAGACCACCCTGATGCTCGGGCTCTGGGTGAGGGATCATTCACAGCAGGCTTCCACTCTGTGTGTGCGTGGCAAGGAGGACATGGTTTCTGGCACCCTGGGGTGCTCATCCTGAAAGTGTCCATGTACCATCTCCTGGGCCTTCAGAGCAAAGAAACATTTTAGGATCAAGAATAGGCTTTTTCTCTCTGTTGCAACATTTTCCAGAACTTGGATTTTGGGGGTATTTCCATGCTGGAGTACTTTCCACATCAGGGGAAGTTCTACAGAATTGGCAGGTGGTTTTCATTGCTCTATACGATTCACCTCACCAGCTTCCATTTCAGAAATATGGCCAATTCCAAGGAACGTGTCGCAGTGTCTTTGTCTCTTATGGCAGGAAAAGTGGATTGTACATGGTATATCCCACTAAACCATGCATTTCTTGCTCCAAACACCCCAACAGATGATGTCTCCTCCCCATCCAATCCCGGACACTATGACCTCTCCTTTGTCTCTCTCTGATGATATCTGGGACCAAAGTCCTCGTCTCCGTGTTCCTGAGTCCACCATGTATCATGTCACTCATTAACTCCTGGAATTGGTCAAGAAATGTGTTTTTCCTCTCTTGGCCGTCGGTACAGTCTGTGTTACTTGGGCAGCAGAAATGCCAACTCATCCTTAACAACAGATGCCCATCACTCGACTCGAGTATGTCCTCCAGCAAGTGGAGCTAATTTCAGCCCCTACCTGACTGCATTTTTGACCGTGTTTGAAAAATGTGCTGTTCACGAAAACATAAACCTACAAAGAGCAAGGTACGACTGGTATTACAGAACATCTCTGATTTTCATAGAAAATAACTTTAGTATCCCTTACCGTGCTGGAATTCCACAGCATGGAGAGCTTGTCTGTCACTTTTCAAATCAGGTTCAGTTGATCAAAGTGTGATTCACATACAGTGCTTGAGCTATACAGCTGTAGGTTGCTTTGCTTTACTTGATCGGATTTGAAAGATCATTTCCTGTGTTTGCTTTGATTTGTTCCATTAAGATGACTCTAACCTTTTAACCTCTGACCCTCACAATTCTTGCTAGGTTGATTTTCATCAGCCTTTGAAGATGGGTCTCAGTTTTCTAATTTGTCTCATAGAATTTTGACTGTTGTCTCAGGCAAGGTCTGATTTGCCTGTTACCTTATACCAAACACCTCTTTCCAAGAGTTGTTCCCCTTCATTTTGGAAGCATGAGGGGTTTTCATACTTATTTTGTAGAGCACCCATTTATATTTATTTCTGTATATAGAACTAAAACAAAAATCAGTAGTGATAAAATCTTTGTGGTTTGAGTTTCATTGTTGCTTCTTGGGTAAGATGGTGAATGTAGGCTCCAAGTACTCTCTTCCGTCTTTAGAAAGCTATGATCGAGTGTGCAATTATTTGACGGGAAAATAGTAAATTAAGGTATGTGTAGTTTTTAAGGAAAAAATCGTTGGAGATATACATACTGCCCACGTCTCTTTGGTGCAATAACTGAATAGCAAGGAAAGCTATTTTGGCAAGTTACAATTTAATGATTCTCATTCATTTACCCTTTTGTGTTCAAAAGTTTTCTGGAAACTGCTTTACTACCTTTAATGTGGTTGAGTTTTTTTTAAGTTGATTGATTCTCTTAGCTTTTGTCACTAGAGTTGGTTTTTCAATATCCAAAATAGGATGTGATAAAATTCTATTTTTGACCCACGTCATTTAAAAGCTGTAATTGCTGACACATGTTGCTGCCTTGGTTGTGGTTAGAAGGCCTTTAGTTGAGATGATAAGCAGTAAACAACTTCCCGAGCTGTAGTTTTTCCATCATACCGGTTTTGTTTGAACAGCTGGGATTTGGTACATGTGTGGATGTGGGTCTCGTCATAGAACCCAGCACAGAAGTGCAGTATGGGCCGAAGAGATGCTCTGAAGAAAAGGTCACGTTCTGGGACAACTGTTTGCTGAGGATCATCATATGATGGGAAATTAGAGACAAAAATTTTAAAATGACAGAAAAAATAGTCATCTCATTTGCTGTTCAGATTGGGAGCTAGCATGGTCTCTAGAAGCACTGAACTGTCTCCAGTTGTCAGTCACAGCCCTTTTACTGTGTGCATTCCAGTTTGAATCGTTTGTATTGAATTTGACTCACATCTCGTGTATGTTTTAGTGTGTAAAAGGGAAATTTTGATGTTTTTACTTTTCAGAGTTGCAGGACAAAGGGCATGTTGTTGGTTTGCTGTAAGATTGTATTCTGTATATATGTCTTCATGTAAATAAGTGAAAATCTATATCAGAGTTATATTTTAATTTTTATTCGAAATAAAACCCTTTTTACTTGAAAAATTGTAAGCCACATTGTTAATAAAGTAAAAATAAATTCTGTGTAGTGTTTGTGTCTTTGGGTTGAAGGTTATTAAAGATTGTAGGTTGAGTTAGGGTTATTTTGCTCTACTTTTGTTTATTCTCTATTTTTGCTATGCACTAAAGCATGTTTATAGGTTTTCAATAGTCATACTTAAAAGTCCTGTGTGATCTTTCAGTCACCTGCTGGTTCTGCAACTTTTTACTTAAGGAACTTGCATTTATTTTATCGAAACATTATACTATATCCTGCACTATCACCTTTAGTCTTCTCATTTTCAACCATTTCAGTCATGCTACGATTACCTGGTGCACTCGTAATTTCTATTTGTGCTTGACGATCTTTGATGACAGAAATTTAAAGGCTGACTCTATTATAAAGCTGAATACGTTTCCAGACCTCTTAATCTACTGAATCAAGACAAAAGGAATCTCTCTCCACTTGCCAGTGAAAGTCTGTTTTTAATTCTCCAATCTAGGGAGGCTGTTTTTGACTTTCTGTTTTTTAGAAGGTCCTTCTCACTTGCATTGGCATTGGGTGCTGTTACTTTTTTATTCCAAGACTGTCGGACAACACCCAAACTTTCTGAAGGTCAGAAGACACATCATGAATGCTATTTACACGCACGTGACTCTGGGTGACGTAAAGATTTTTTTGTTTTGTTTTTAAAGATTTATTTATTTATGCACACAGAACTGTGGTACAGGCCAGAGGCTCAGGGGTGGTGAGAGGATTCACCAGAGACAGAGTGGGGAGCAGAACAGGCAGATCTATGAAGTACACTGCTGAGGGGAGCAACAGGCAGGTCAGAAGAGGTCTGCGGCACCATGTGGGTCACCTCAGGGTGGGGATCGAACTCATGCTGAAATGGCTTTAGCTTCTTAGTGCTGTGCTTTAACCCGCTGCGCCACCAGGGAGGGCCTGTAAAGACATTTTCTCAGTAAGACGGCAACATGTCACAATGATAGGTGGGCTGCAGAGATCTGCTAGGGAATCATTTCAAGCGTTTTTATGATGTCCGCCCAAGCATGTGTCAAAACATAACCCTGTTTAAAGTGCCTCATTTGTTGTGTCCGTGTGTAGAAGAAAATTCCTTTGAGAGCCTGAATGGGTGTGCTATCACCCCTACTTCAAAT